CCAGTGGCGGATCCAGAGGGGGGCATGGGGGCCATGCCCCCCCAAACGCATGACGATTCGTATCACCTGGATTACGCATAGCTTCTCTACGATTTACGGTCCGTATATCTTAAGCGTAGCTTGGACCCCCTCCCCAATACATTTTGCTGGATCCGCCACTGTTACTATCCCATGTGCGTTCCAAATTTAGCGGGGAAAGGGGATGTTTTTCACCTTCTTAAGCGGGCCTGCGCGGGAGGCAAATAGGCCCCTTTAAAATGTCTGCAATAGGTTTCCAGGAATATACTCACAGGGTTACTGCGCCCGCTGTAGGCCCCCTCTTGCAACAACCACTCCCATACACCACCCTAGGCCAGAGCTTGTTTGATCACACCCTACTTGAGTGACAAAAAACGGCAGAGAATGCTCGTAATAGAAGTAGGATGTTCTCAAATATATGTCTGCAATAGGGGGTGTTTTTTTTCTTCCAAATGTCTTCTCTAGGGGTTGTACATTTACAATGCGCCCGCAATAGGGGGTATGGTTTTGCAATGTGCTGCTAGCCGTGATAGACGAAGCAAAATACCTTCCCGGACCCAAAACGCCGCGAAACCACGGCTAATGTGCTGCCAGCCCTCGGGGCCTATTATTTTTTAGCAAGAACGCACATGATGTAAGGTTTTAATATAGATTGACCCCCCCCCCCCGTGGTCTATGTGAACCTTCTTGACCAGACAAAAAAGCTGAGTGGTTTACAGTTAAAAGTGGACGTTGGTCTTGTTGTATTGCACTTATACATACAATAATTTTATCAGGAAGATAACACTCACTTAATCTTGGTACATTATATGGAGTAAGCGGAATGTATTTAACTTACGGGGAATAATTTGTCATTTAAGATTACGATTGTTTTGAAAATATAAACTATTTAATTTACATTAAAAGTGATATCGCGTATTCCAACATACCAATACATGTGACCAGTATATAAACCTCTTCATACATTGTTCTCGTCCTCAATATCACACAAATATAAACCTCTTCATACATTGTTCTCGTCCTCAATATCACACAAATATAAACCTCTTCATACATTGTTCTCGTCCTCAATATCACACAAATAATTTGTATAATCTGTGCAGCTTTTCTTGGTACTCGGGTTCAGAATTCCAGTTTTGTTATACCTCCTATTTAATGCAGGATTGATCTTGTAAAGATAACGATCCACCAGCACTTGTATTACCTGTACGTATAAATAGCGTCAATAAAGTAATCACTAAAAATTTGCATGACTCATAATGTTGCACTGAAATTGTAAAAAGACGTTTTTTAAACAGTTACATCATAAAATGACGCCCTAGTTGCTGTACTACTTATACTTGTAGTTTGTTTGAAATTTGTCAATGGTTTGAAAAAGCAACTAGGTTTGCTCTTCTAGACCAATTATAAATAAAACTAAAAATTCAACGACGGCACTGAAATTGTGGCATAATCAAAACCCTTCTAAACATTGGCTTGACACTCTGTCTGTTGTCCTACATTTAAAAATAAAAATGAAGAACTGTTCTGTTGACGACTTCGTCAGCTCATCTCGAAAGATGTCACATGGGACCACACACTTCTTGTTGTCATTTTAATGGACCCGACACGTTTCAACAGAGGGGAAATGAGACGAGCATAAGCTAACTTTTCTATTGCAGCATATCTAAATCATATTCAAACGATCAAGACTCATTCTCAAACATCTATTGGGTGAAGTAATTTCGAAATATCGAAGAATATAAGTTTGTATTTATATTGTATACACACAAAATGTATTCCACTGTTAATTAATTAATTAATTAATGTATATAATTATGGAACATTGACTGCCAAACATAAGGTATAATGATAAAAACGGAAGCAAATATTTGTTTTAATAAAAACCATGGTTCACTTGAAAATAATTGAGGGTATTTACATACTTTGTCGTACGTCAGACCATCTGTTTGTTGCTTCGCCGAATTGGTGTTACTTGCCGTCCTCTGCAAAAGATGGGATGTGAATATGCTCAAAACAATTATACATTCATTAACATTAATTTAGTGAATTCAATATTCTTACCACACAACCAAATTTACAAAAAAAAATCCCACAAAAAAAAAAACAACATGCTAAATTGTTCACAAATTATTTTGTGCAGATTAGTTCAAAACAAGTGTTAGACATTCAATCATACACTCAATATATGCATGTATTAAATATTTCTGAGTAAACGGCAGCGAATATACCTAAGGCCCATGCTAATATCAGTAAATCATTATGCAAATAAACTAATTTATATGTACATATTAAACAAAATGTCGACATTCAACTACACACACATTAGCACGTATCAACTTTTAATTAATCTAGCGGACATAAAATGAACAAAAAGATAAGTAAAAGGTATTAATTAATCATAGGTGGTACAAGCATAAGCAGGTATAATGTTTATAATAAAATTTGTACCAAATTTAATTCCAATCCACCCAGTATTTCTAAAGAAACATTTCACACACATATACTTACAACACATTTGCACAATGCACTCTCGGAGCCACAACACAAACTACTTTTCTAATGTAAAACACAAAATAATTTCAGGAACAGCATCAGACATATTGAGTAGCAGTGTGTAAATAATGAAGTGTGGAAGGTGGATGTGTGAATTTATATGGATTGTCGGCTGTATTCTAGTGTGTTCACTTAGCCATTGGGGAATACCTTAGTAAATGGTAATAGAAGGACGTTTATTAGTTGTCACTGATATGCTACTAGTAAGCAAGCTAAAAATACAAAGTTTGCTTTGATGTCGTATATAGATGTAGGAATGGCACTAATGGTAAACATGAATGAGAACTCGTACTCACGGTGATAAATATGTAGCAAAGACATGTTGATATAATTGCATTGTAAGAATAGTATGTGAATTTTACAATATTATTCAATCTTAACGTCACCGTTATAATAATGTGACATCTGATAAATCGTCTGGCTTTTCTCAAGTATCCGTAAAAGTGAACTCCTTTAAAACTGTTCGTACCTTGTTACCACGTGGGCTTCTTCGAAATGAACACACTCTCAAACACATCTGTACCAAACAGTAGCCCGTTGGTATTAAATTTAATGGTGGCGGGAGTGTTGGTGCCGAAAAATAATGTAACCACATTTTTGTTCGCTTGAATTTCCACTCAATATCGACTCGCTCCTAGTGAATGAATAACAACATCTTGTACTAGTCACTAGTTGATAGTAATTACCCATCATTCTAGAATTAAGCAATATTGTATGTGCAATTATAATACAAACTATATTTTGTCGGCCAATATCTTGTCTTTTGTTCTACCTTATCACATTCAAAATGTAGTCATGAATATTCATAAGCTGAGTATGCATCATAACGTCTTTCATTGCGATATCGTTAATGTGTGAATGTTGTACTAAACAATAAAAAAAGTTCGAAACGTGACGTGTCGGAAGTCAGATAATGCACTCATGTCGTGCATTCATATATTTGACTTCCATTCGGCACGAATTACTAAACTCACCTGTAGTCTAGCATATGTATCAGACATCATTGCAATACAAAGGTTTACTAATACTAAAATGGAAATCAGACAGAATACTGCATAAAGAGTAAATCCAAGCGTAGAATACACCTCAGAAGCATCCTGGTTAAACTTTGCACTAACGTTGAATTCCAATGACACTTCTAGAGAGCTATCGGAAACAGTACTACCAAACACACTACCAAGTAGTGATGTAATCGTTGTCTCTAGGCTATAGGTAGAATTGAAATAAATGAAATTATTATTTGTAACAAAATACATCATTTTCAACATCAATATCACCTACAAATCGACACATACCACTCACTGTTAAAATTGAGACATCTGCGAAATGCCAAGGAATGTGTTTCCCTTGTCAGGCAACTTTTCAAATGAAAAAATCGAATAGGTTGATGAACGAAAATCAAATCTCAGAAATCCAACCAATTTATTTAAGCCACGCCGACCCTATTTCCAGTTTATTGACTTCAACTGTGCGTTTCCTGTGTCATATTGTGGGGAGAGGAGAGTGAGTGAGGCTAGCGCATTTTTCGAAAGGGTTATACTAGTATTTGAAGTACAGTATTTAAAAACACCGTTTTCCCCCAAATACTCACCTCGTAAAAGAGCCGTCCGTTCCAGTATCATTATATAAATTGTATAATCCAAATACAAACGTAATACACACAATTAGAAAGATACAAATGAAACGTGCGACATCAGTTGCCATATTGGAGAAATGGAACAGCATAGGTCCAACAAACTCCACTAAAAACAAGTTCTCCATATAACGGATACAGGCAAAGACACATATAATTGAATACCAGCAATCGATGAATACTGGTAAGATCGTGTATCTGTATGTGGCTGTTCCTACGAATTTAGCCTGAATACATGTGATCGCCAAGAACGACATCTTTATAACTATGTCGAAAATATTCACAATATCACTGAAGTAATTATGAGTTCCGATTTGGTAGCATTGTAGAACTTCTTCATATAATAATGCAAGTATCCATATGAATATAACCGATATTGCTATGTAAAACATTAAATCAACATCAACTGTGGGATCTAACGAGTGCAAAAGATCGAACACAATCATAGAAATAAGAAACACGGCATGTGCAAATGCACGCATTATAAATCTTCCTTTTGGGTTGTTTATCAGTTGACTGATCGGACAGCATGGAGCGAAAATGTAGATAATACCAAAGGGTATTTGTAACACCCCGAACACCATGATACAGTACGACCAATATAGTATAGACCACCAGACCCCATCCCTTTGTGACCATGTAGGCTGACCCATTTCCCATCCGTTCTTCAACACGTCTTGGCTGTAGTAATGTCCTATAAACTACATAAAAAGTAACGTGATTAAACAATATCTAATAGACATATAAGTCTTGCGTCTACCCTAGAATTCAAACACTATCAAATCATCGAACTTCATTTATTGAATATTCGTAGACAAGAAATAAATCTTAATAATGATATTTTTTTTAATTCGACGCGCCCCATTGAACGGTTACATGCAGTGGAATCAAGAATAGATGGATGCGTAGATACAAGTGGAAGTCAGTCAAGGAATAATAAAACTGAACGATAATATATGAGGTGGCTATCGCCACATTAATATTGTAACACTTCCATGGTGTAACAGAGAGATCATTGTCCTGCTCAGAAACAGCCGAGCATAGTTATAGTTATGCCCACGTAATGACGTAATTGATCAGACCATACGAAGCATGCTGTTGTGAACACTGTGTTGTAAATGATGTCGCTATGGTAACAATGTCTTGAATTATTATATATTTCGTAGTGCCGGTAACCCAGATCATGTAACAAATTGCTATATGTTATTCAGCTTCGCACTGGTGATTTCTACATGCCGACTTTGATTTATCTAATACATATAAATGAAATGTATTTCACTTTCAGTTCACGGTTGGAGAAATGTTGCGGTCAAATATTGCAGTGCTGAACTGTGAAATAAAAAAACAACAACTCCTGAATAGGTTGTTTTCTGTTCACTGTGAGATCTCGCGTATTACGTGAAAGGCGTGGGCCGCGCGTCAGCCGCAAAACATGATCGATTTGATTTGGAATTTGAATATCATTTGTAAAGCTCAATGTCGGAATATTAATCTTTGAGAGGGAAATGTAGTGTTGAGATACCCCTACTTCATTAAAATTTACCATCATTAAATGTGTATTGCACATGAATGGGCGTGGAAAATACCCGACAAATATTTTCCCGTCCGTCGAATCCTATGACTTTTGTTTGTCCTGTTTTTACGTTGCATTTCACGCGTAACGTGGGATCTCGCAGTGAACGGCAAATGGACTATCACCTCTTTTTGATCACTTTCAATGGCCCGTACAGCCAAATGATACTGGTCAACATCCAATATATTACTCAATGGTCTATTTTTACATGGCTTTCCTTTCAGTAAAATTGACACCTCTTCCGAATTATAACAGCATTCCAGTATTTCAACGGCAAATAATTTCAACTGCTGAACCAATGTCGAGTAGTATATCTAGAATGAAATGACAGTTTTTATTTTCTTAAAATGTGTTTAAGATTTTTAATTCCCACATTGTCCTATTTCTAAATGGCAGTATTTCGAAAGCGTCACATTCGTCGCGTTCTAATTTTGTTTAAATAAAACCAAACAATGTATTTAACATTGCAGGTTGCAGGTGTCGCGTAGAACCCTTTAATTCAAACAATAGGCGTTACGCAAATGTGACGTTTTAAATATAATTGAAAATTGAACTTATTGTTTAAATATTGTCACATCGGCTGACCAGTGTCAACGGGCACATATAAAACACGTTTAGACGCACACCAAACATACTGGCAATACTCCAATATTGTTTATACCTGTAATTGACAATAAACTTTTACAAATCGAATTTATGTTTACGTGTACTCGATTAACATTTGCACATCAATACGTGACCCTAAGGCGAAGTATTCGCAGAATATTTCGAACATTAATAATGTTGTTAACTTGGAAACAGTCGTTCAATGAGCCAACCACATAGTGTCTCTGTCGCCCAACTGTTTAAGCGTCTGTAAACCACCACGAACTCGCTAGGTACGTGGTATGTATGTATAGGTAGATTGATGGTTTGAAAGCGACTGACACTTAAATCTATGTAGCGGCATGGAACATAACAAATCATATTATTTTCTCATACTTTAGAAGTGTTCTTCACTGCGTGGCTATTCATCAGCTTCGACATCTCTTTGCATAGTTCAAACACCCTTGTTAACGGATCGTCCTTAGTGAATATTATATAGGGAGGACTACATAGTGACTTGTACACATCAATTCGTGTTCGACCTGTTAAGATATCTTCTTTGAAACCTGTTGAATTTACAACAAAAATCCTTAAAATTGGAAAACTTAATTTATATCTGACAAATATTCTTTGTCGCTTACATCATAAATATAATTGTATTGTGCAAACCACCTTTATATACATAACTATATAAAGGCAATCAAACCTTCTACTCTTACCTCCAGGGAAAGCGGGATTTGAAAGTAGCGGAGATCCGTGCTCAAGTAATAGTTTCACCATTGCATAGTCGTTATTCTCCGCTGCTAGTTGCAGAATGGGTTTTATTAATCCATTGCGCTCTAATCGCAAATCTGTGTTTACACCTCTTTCCTGTACGCCACAAAATATACAAATAATACATTACATAGCTACCTTAATATTTATACTACACGCCAACAGTGTAAATTATCTACAGAAACACCGTAAAATGTGTGGTGTATGTGTTATCCGTGTCCGCGGCATTATGTATGATCACGACAGTAACATGTAACCTCGTTTTAAGGCTTGATCAATACTCGTACGGTCACTGTCTAGTGTATACAACCAACTTAGCCGTCCGAATAAACCTTTCTCAGGATTTTGTGACAAATATTAACAGGTCATGCAGTGATGTTATAGAGTACGATTTTAGTTATCATTTAATGTGTTATTTTAATCTTAGTTAAGACTAGACGAGGTAATATCCGCCGAATGGCCATCACCATTGCTAAAAACGTTAAACCAAATTCAGTTGAATTGAACATAAACATACCTGACCCGCATTTACTTGAACTATTATCTGTATATTATTATTATTGAAAAAAAACACGTCACAACTATTAAACGACAACATACGTGAACATGACAATTACTTACTGTCAGCAATTGTACTGCGGCGTTAGCATCACTCCTTAATACCGCTTCAATTAATAGTTTTCCGATGTCTTCTTCGTCCGCCATGACGTCATCAGTAATATGCCGTTACTACAACTACGAGTATCAACAGTTGAATTGAAAACAGTCTGGAAATAAAATCCATTTAAATTGATTTCTGAATTAATATTGTTTGAACAATTATATTTGTAAGACTGTAAGATCATTAAGTTTCCATTAATTTGTATTTTGTTTCAATGTTTCGATATTTTGAGCGTGTTCGCTGGATTTAAACTTCAATTTTTAAAATGAAACATTGAGTTCTGTTTTGATTTGACATGTATTCGTGCATTTAATTACGAAATTCCAGTTATCAGCAAAATTAAAACCTAGTAAAAATAATAAGTTCACATTATTAAGCCTATTCTTTTTGGTTTTTGCCTATAATGAATGTGTGCTGCAAAATATCTCGTGTCGCAATAACGTTTTCACGATTAAAAAAAAAATGATTATGGATACATCAATGAAATTACATGATCAAAAACAGACTGAAAGTTAAAAAATGGTCTATACCTCAGAGCTTCGCGATTTACATAACTTACGCTGTGAAAGGCGAAACTTTATTCTACTGCTCCATGACTTGTGTCGTTACTACCATTGCAAGTATAGTAATCGGTAAATTTAGAAACATATGTTAATTTTTATTTATCGTGTGTTATTATTGTGCGCGTGAGATGGGAATGCCAGGTAGGCGAATAACTCAGAATAACTTCAGAATATGATAACTTCAATGTACATGTCATTGCAGAGAATACAGCAGTAAACTTCATATAGTGCGACTTTAGTATATTTATTCACACAATTTACGATATAATTTTATCGTCGATTACCGGTGTCGTCTGATGATATGATATATTGATTTTGTTTCCGGTTGATAGAAAATGCTTGCCAGTATTCAATCTCTACCTCCGTAAATTATGAATAATACTAATGGTAGTGTTGCCCACGGCAGTGCACTGTGGTCGATGAACCGAATCGTGTATATTATACGTAGTAATCAGAATACATCGATTCTACAGGGAATACTAAGTATATTCTGCTTAAATGTGTCCAGGCAATAGAATCATAACATTGTTTTATAGGGGGTAATAAGTACTGTGTGTAACCTGTAGTAGTGTTCACACTACAAGAAGTATGGGTTAATATTTAATCCGTACTTAGCATTTCATAGCCCATGCTAAGCGTACACGCATGTTCTCTTAGCACGGGCTAAGGTATTTGACCCCTTAGCCCGTGCTGGAGCTGCGCGTGAACGATACTTATGTGTAACCGAGTGTGGTTGGTGGTTTAATGAGCTATATTCATTGACATGTCGTAGTGCTAGCGGAATTTCGGATACGGAAAGTGAGAAATAAAACTTCAAAACAATCTTTGTTAAAATAATTGATAGCGACCTGGAAGTCGGTTTCAGTCATTGGCTTTTGAGTCACATGATATATTTAGAGTTAGATCGTCAATGCTACTATCACTTGGTCGCCCCCCCCCCCACATGCTAAAATATCTTGGCCTGCTGCATCGTCATGTTATCTAGGGTTAGATATTATAGCTGAGAATAGTTATTCTATTCAGTTTTTATCCTATACATGCTAATTATTATACTATTTGTGTTTGTTTTGGTCTATGGTATGGTTGTTGATATCAACAGCCAAATATAGCTATCCAACGAAATACCATATGTCATACCAGCAACAAAATAAACTCGAAATAGTATAATGAAAATGAAATTTACGAGCTTTATACTAAAAGTTGCGCCTGGTGCTTTACTGGGTCAAACTATTTAAAATAAATTTTAATTCGGGGTTGAAAATCTCGCGGTTTTGAATTAGCACATAACCATGCATACATATTTTGACGGTCGGGATAATCTGTTAGAACTGAGAGCGAGTACATATCAAACGAACTGCCTTAAATGTTTTGCTAAATCATAACAATAATTTGACGGGAATTTTTCGAATCGATATTTCCTTTAATTAGTAATTTTGTTTTATGAATCATGTACAAAAAGACGCACGGACGCCTAAGAACTCTGGAAAATATTGAAATATTGGTATTTTTAATGACAATTTATTTTGATTCTGGTCTAAGGGCAAAGTTGTCCCCTTTTGTACACCCTGGCATTCACGCCGATGGCAGTCACTGTATTTTTCTGCATGGAAACAAACATTTTTTGGATTTTACCCAAATATCAGATTATCAGTTATGAACGAATTTACATTTTTATGCTGCTCTTCGACACAAACACCAATCGACGAGATGTTGAATTACTTTGTAGCTGTGAAGGAGGTTTGTACACCGTTTGTACTTTCAGAGAAGCTCCCGGGTATCGAATGTGAGGGCTCACTTTAATGGCGTCAGCTGTTAAACTCGGGAGTAGATCATTTATTGTCAGGCACTGGTGATCTATAGACCGAGTAACTGTAGACTAGTGACTACTAAATTGACACCTGAAAATGGTAAAAAAGCTGACAACAGTGTTAATTATTACCATATTACCTCAATATCCTCAGTATTATCTCAGTATCCGTTTAAAATATAAATTATCATTAATAACAAACACAAATAAAAGTGAAATAATTTTATAAATAAAAAACAGTACACATTCACACAAGCAACACAGCAAGGGATTAGTAAATAAAATGTTACATATTCCACGCTAAAAATGATTATAATTGTCAAAAAAAATTAATAATTTGTCTATGACAGATTGTGTTAATAATGACTGCGTTCGTGATAAAAATGTACATTTCTTATTTCATGTTCGTACAGACGTTATGCAACGTAGACGATCAGTAGAGTTACTCTGTGTCAGCACGTGTAGTTTAATATAATAAGAATTTAGAATTGTATAAAAATATACGTGTAATTTGAAGTGATGTTAGACGGAATCTGTGGCATAGGGCAATGTACGCATCACTCCAATCTTATTAAAATAAGTTCCAAGTATGGGCTTTTTTCGAATATAATTAGTTTTTTTCACATATATTATTTTATTTATTTATTTATTTATTTATTTATTTATTTATTTATTTATTTATTTATTTATTTATTTATTTATTTATTTATTTATTTATTTATTTATTTATTTATTTATTTATTTATTTATTTATTTATTTATTTATGTTTGGTAATCGTAAAATCTTTATTAAGTAATTTATGCATTTTTTCATTAAGTTCTACTTGTGACAGAGCCCCGAATGTGCCATATAAAAATACAAAAACATATTTTTCATGGGCTACGAGTGCACATGAAACTGCATCTTTTTTAAAAACAAATGTTGAAAAACAAGCATTTTAAAAGCACTAATAATATTCCAAGTTCTCTCTCGGGATTTGTGCGATTGTATAGGCGTGGGTTTATCAAACTTATAATAAAACACTAACACTAAATAAAATTGCGTTCATTATAAATGAAATATTTGAGTTTTGAGTTTGAGTCGAAATTTATAAAACAAACAGAGTTGTCGTTTTTAATGTCATTGCGTTCACCAATCCATATAATTGTGACGTCATACTAGCGATAATAAATCTTTACAGGAAAGATTATAACTGGGCATAATACAATAACTGCGTCATTTTGCGCCTGTAAATGATGTTTTCTAAAAGTATTGCTTACTTGTTGTGAACGTAAGACGTATTAGCTGACGTACTACATAGGTGTAGGTAATTTGAAGATAATACTGGAACATTGGATAGTTATACGTAATTAAATAACTTTGGAAATTAAACAGTCCTAGGAAAACTGGTAACAGTTTATGAGCCTTGGACTAGCAATTAATATCCAAATTTATGACCAAAGTAATTCAGCTTTTGATTAAGGAAGTGCAAGTTTAATTACGCTTTTTGACAATGTTTTCCAATTCGCTTCGAAGTTAATCCGCAGTATTAATTTCATATTACATCCGAATTTGTGATACATTTTCGAAACATATTTTATGAATGACAAGGCAACGACCTGGTTATAATTCCCACTTAATACCATTTTAACTTTTCCTGCATCACCATTGATCATTTTATACTACCCTAAGGAATTCACACAGTCTAGTATGAAGAGACCCCTTAACTTGATGATGTGCAACCGTTTGCAGTTTATCTTTCATTGTACACTTGAACTATGCCAATGGGTCGTCCACGGTAGCGATGTGATCGCAATCTTTGACATGAACTATAGTTGTTATTCTGAAATTTGGTCCATTGGTTGCCTGAAAGAAAACATGTGTAACTGTTAGACAAAAAAAGCAAGTTTTTATTTAACCACAGCTCTTACATTCTGAAATTGATAGGGCCCTCAGACCCACCCACTTTCGATTCTGTAATTATAGGCTTTATTTCTAAAACACAAATTCAAACATGTGATGGATTATGTGTAACAAGAAATATGCAATGAATCAACATTGTGCCACACTCATGGTTTCTTTAAGTGTTACAAGTAAATATATGGACTGATGCTTTCATTTGTTTCCATTTCCTGATGTTTCTCCGAATTATAATCCACCTGATTTCATGGAAATTAGTAAGCAGGATAGCAAAAAAAGGAGACATCGCATATAATTGGTTCCTACTAATGCCAGTAAGTTTGATGCCCGGGGGGGGGGGGTACTCGCCTGGAAGTTTGGGTGGTTGGGAGTGCTCCGCAGTCAATTGAAAACTGGACCCAAAAATTGACGTTTTTCGCCGAAAAAGTCGAAATGTTGCTAAAATAGCCGGAAATACTATAATTGTTAATTAAATTCATGTACATTCCTCTGATATTCAGTGTAGTCGCAGTTGGTTGCTAGATGTTCCATCTAAGATTTTCAGTATACCCAAGGTACTGTCCGTGGTAATCATTAGCACCTTGTTGAGACAATTCAATTTCCCATCAGTAGTGAGTAACCATATTGAGTTGTGTTATATATATTTAATGGATACTACCTTTTTCCTGCTAAAAATCTGATTTATTGGGTACTCCTCTGCCAATAATTGTTATTCATAAGCGCCCTGAGAACATCGTTCTGCTAACAGATCCAACACATTTGGCAAACTATCAGGTGGTCTTCCATTAACAATCAATCTGTCAAGATCATCTCAACACCACTGATTCGCTACAAATTGCAGAGCCTTCTTGTTAGATGTACTTGAAACGCGTGATGGTACTGGCAACGCATGTGTTAGTAACTCCGGAAATGTCTGTAATTACTTGTGTCGATATCATCGTAAAGCTTTGCATAGTCCATCCATTTGCCTCTATGTATCTGATTAGTTGAACTATAATTGGCCACATGGCGTTATGAGCATACTCATAGTAAATGGCCAAATTTCACATCTATGTCAAAAACATTTAAATGACTAAAAGATGCGTTGGTAGAAGACAGTAGCCAACCACACTATTTGAGGTTATACAAGTAAACTCACGAGGACTTGTATTGTCTTCATTAACTATATACAATCCAAAATAATTGCAAATTCTTCCGCTGATGTTAAAGTGATATCATTTAATTATCTCAACATATTAAAACATTGAACTTAAAATATATGTTTGATCTATATCTAGTCTTCTGATTGGCTGAATCCAGGATTTCTATCTGTCGTATCATGAAACTGACTCTAGATTGCACATGCAATTCACGAAACCCACAACCTATGTAGCGCTAGCATGTTGTAATGAGAGTTAATAGATGTCCCTGGGTAATTTGTAGCGCCTTTATAACCTCCTGGAAGAGAATAGCATAGTTACTTGTTGTAAAATATGCACATTTTCTCAAAGGGATTTTATCTCCACGACCTTGCCATTCGTAATAACATCTGATTAACCTCTAATTACTTATAGATAACCAAATGTAATTCCTAATTTAAATATTGCATGTCTTGCTAAAATCAATCAGCAGGTTAATCAGGAACGATGAACGACTACACAAGCAAACGTGGTTATCATTTTGAACGACATGGCGTTCAATTAACCAGGTAACATAGACGTTACATAAGCGAATCGTTGCTAGATGACTTATAAAAATATTTTATTATTGGGCATCGTTGTATATGCTGATATTTGCCGCTTATAAAATGTTTTTTTTTCTTGTAAACCTTTTAGTTTGTCATTTCCTACAGGTTGTACGGACCTTGTACCATCCAATGTTCATTTGTCCTGCTGAATTAATTAAGGTATCGAATCTTAATTTTTGCTTCGTCATCGAGAGATTTGTACATCATCTTATAACATTTAAGAAATATTAATTTTTAAACCTAAATTTGTGGTATATTTACATTCGCTTGACAGGCAACGTTAACAAATTACCAGCCCCCTTGTTTGATGCAATGTATTGTAGAATGTTAAACACTTTGTTTATTGGTTTATGTCATGAATATATTAACTCGTAACTTCCGGTCTGATGATTAACAAGTAAACATTATTATTGATTAATGCCATTGACAAGTGGAACATTCCATTCTGTAGACATTTAAATTTAATTGTTTTTAATAATATGTATAATTTTTTTTCTGGCCGGAACTTTAAAATTTAAAAGACATTTTTGTCCATTGAAATATAGTTGGTAGTTTGATACCTTAAGCATCATAGTTGTGATATTACAACGTCACCAATGTCTTGTAGAGCAAGTATACAGACATCTGTGTTATGTTATGTTTATTTTATAGATGTTAGGGGGTTGTGTTATTTTTATCATTCTGCTAGGTAGGTGATAGTACAGTTGATTTTAATTAACTTGTGATCTCAACCCTGACTGCACTGTATAAGACATGTTACACGTAGTTTCAGTCATAATGTAATCACCAACCATTTTTCCTGTGTCATAATGATTACTTATAACTTCATCGTAGTTATTATTTTCGCTGCCAGCAATACTGCAAATTGCCGGTGAGTAATTCTTCTGTTTTCTATCCATGTGACAATTTCAATGTTTGCCCAGAGTGCATACATGCTAAGGATTTGGGTCTGTGAGTAACCATAGTAACTATAGGCAGTTAATATTATATATACTAATACTTGTGGCGAGGGAGTATAACAAATCTCTCAAAGTAGAATATGACTTTCTCGCGATTAATTCCATTATCGGAACACTCATTTAATATGAGCATCAGTGGTCATGGCAAGCATGTTAAGGCCATGTCCCAACAACTAGTTCAGTTGTTAGTGTAAAAACGAAGAAACATGCTACTGAGTTTTAAATAAATAACATTAATTGTTCAAATCAACTTATGGTCAGCATCTCTTGTATAAATATGTCATTTTGATCCACCATCATCATAGAATGTCCATGTCTCACCTGTCTTTAATCTGATGCAATGTGACAGTGTCTAAACATGTGAAAGTAACTTTTTGTTCAACATAATATAATTCGGGGACAATGCTTGATGTCCGATAAAGCTACTACCATTTTTCAATTTTGTAAAGAACGTACATGAACTATATTCTTCTAACTATATTATAATTCCTGATATTACGCTGAAAAGTCAATAACCTGTTACTGTACCATCACATAAATTGAATCGTGTACATTAAACTACTACATCTCCCATCACAGTTTTACGTTTCGTTTGGCTCACAAGAAGACAATAATTGCACCGGCGCAAATGATTTGTTTAAATTTAAACTAATCATAAATTCCCCTGACACGTTCTATGTTAGTTTGACCTTGAACCGTGACACTGAAATTGTTAACTGATCTACCTTTCAAAATCAATCGTGTTTAATCAATTATGCATAGAATGTCCACATTGTCCCCACTGTCTTGTATTCCTTACCTTAGTTTTATTTATTATACATGTATGTGTGTATGTATGTCATATTAGCTCTTATAAAATGATCGTGTTTAATTAGGCACAGAATTATTTTAACTTACAGATATGCAGATCAGCTACTTAATATAATATCTACCGTTGACTACGATGAACAAATGCGCCCCAATGCTGGTGGTGAGTAGTTACGTAATACTGGTTATGCTAATGTGAATATTTCGTTCACAAACGTTTATTGCGGATGTTAGTTCATTCATCAATCAATCAATCAATCAATCAATCTTCGTCTGAATATTATGGCAGTGCATTTATGCTGTCATAATAGAAAATAACTATATTCTCCACATATAACAAACAACTTCACTCACGATGAATATTTGTATAATTATACTATTAGAGAGAAGAATGTAAAGACAAAAAAAACAAAAAAATCTAAAAAATCATCTTTATTTAAGTACAAGTAACGAACTCATTAACACACGTGTTTATGGAGAGTTGGTGAAGTTATTATAACATCTATTGAGATGAAATAACTGACGTGTTTTGAATATCGCTTTAATTCGTGGTTGTACAAATTGTTATTTTATTATTGGCACATCGATTGCCATGCTTATGTAACGCATACCTGATTCTTCTTAGCCAATTGCATCACATAAGTTGGTTGTTGTAATTTTTTTTATCATTTAATAAAAGAATACTAATCTCTGTGATACTGCTTTGTCAGGTCCACCAGTCAATATATCCGTATCTATATTCATCACAAGTATCCATTCTTTATCTGAAGTTTCCATGGTAAGTTTACCACCATTAAATTTATACACTGTAGGCTAAGATGCATCAGTGTTAAAACACATTATTTCACATGTTGTGTCACGTGACGTACATTGTCATATATGTAAATGCTAACGTCTTTCCACTCTGTGAAAATATATGGAAACACGTCTTTATCATAAATATTGAACACACATCACATAATAATTAGCTAGTCCCAAAGCTCATTTCTGTTATCACTGAATGTCCCACGCCTTCTAACCCGAATTGTTGTTTGCATATTTAATACATCCTTATCTCGAGTGAAGTAAATAGAATGTCATTCTAACTGTCAGTCGTTCGATCATTTTCGGCATTAAATGATATCTTTATTTATTGTGACTTTAATATAATTCAATATGGCATTAGGACACTCATCCATTGCTAGTGTGACGTAGCACTATATTAAAATCAACATATCCCTCATACTCACACATTCCACTAAACTAAAAAAGTGATTATATTCTTTTGATTACCGACTTGTACGCATAGAACAAATCATGATCAAATCAGTTAGAGAAAGATTTTGAAATCGTAAGGCACTGGGAAGTAAAGTCAGGCGTTTTGAAAAGAGTGAGTTCATATCTGGCTTCACATGTGCCCCGCCATATATCAATGTCATGCTATATTGAATGCACTTGTAACTTGTAAACATATACAGTAAAATGTAGATTTTACATAATGGAGGGGGGTAGTAAAACAAGTTAGAATATAGTATTATGAAATAAGGCAAGAACGTGAATATAAACAGTCACGGCACGTGAGTACACAGCACATACCTGCAACCGGCTTGATATGATTACGCAAGGTCTCCCACAATATCATACATGATAACTCCCGGCATATAGCGTATATGTAGTGCACCCCTGGTGGCGCCCTAAGTGTGAAGGCCAAGGAGGAAATCAATATATATATATTAGAGAAAGCTTGATTTTCTTTCCATTTCAGGACTATGCAGCAACTATATTTTTACCAATAGAGTGGAGAGATCCTAGATTAATCTTTAATGGCACCCAACCATTTTTAATTCGCACTGGAACTGCATTGTTGGAGAGAGTGTGGACACCAGATATATATTTCGTCAATGTCAAAGAGGGATATCTACACCAAGTAACAGTTGCAAATAAGGGCATAAAGTTGTATCCCGATGGACGTGTTGTTTATGATATAAGGTAATGCAATACACGTGTACTGTATGATATTATACAAATGTCCACCAAATACAGTTTTAGCGGCCCGTACATCTCATTGTCAACTGTAGCTGTATAATTAATGTACAGAACAAATCTTAAAACAGAAATTGTGGCACCAAATCGTGTGGTAATCTTCCAGGTCGCGTTCGTAAAGCTGAATGCATGTATGGACATAAATATAAAATAGTTCAAGAGTAGTGAATAGATTCTTTTTACTCGTATAAACCTAATTTAAGCAGCTTCAGCCTGACGTGCATGCATTCCAGCTCGTATGAGAACGCTAAAACGAGCTACACATAGGGCTGCGCATTACTTGAGTATATGTTTATTTCAACAACATTTCTTTTAACAAATACACTGTATATAATATGCAGATATACTAGGAAATCCCTACACAATTTTAGTTTTCTGTTTAATAAGATAGTCATATAATGAAAGCAAATATGGCAAACTAATTATTCTTGAATATTGCTTCATATCGTGTTCCCTTGACAAAGGTAAATCAGGTAAACATATTTGGGAGGGACATACCCGGATGGAAGTAGACACACGAATATGTCAGCAGATAGACACACGTCTACCTGTAATGTTCGAATCTGATTGGCTGTCATGGTCATACGGGATAACAATAGATAATGCAATAAATGTGTACTGTATGTTGTTAGATAATGCAATTGACGTGTATTTTATGATATAAGGTAATGACATTTTAATATTTATGATGCCAATTCGATTCATTCAAATATATAACACTGAATAGACTGTCCATTGATACACTTGTCGTCGTCGTGTGGGGGAAATTATAAATATCAAAAAGGGTCAGAAATTTCTCCATAATGTATTTCTTATGTACCAGTAATCTAGTATTACATTTCCATTTTTTAATATATTCATGTATTGTTCAAGATAACACACACTTTACCTGGTTACAATGGCCCATATGTTATCAATACTACACAGTACACATTGAATACGTGTTGATGTTTACTGGGAGGGAGTTTTTTCTTGTAGTTTATCGCACGACAACTTAGGTACCAAGATAGGGACAACTCATACATGGTATTTTTGAAAAAAGTCTTTCTGTGTATTGTTCATGTATGCTGGCCAAGTCAATTTGAATTATGATTTTATTGGTTAAAAATACTTATTACAATTTATATTGTTATCTATTCTACTAGATACATTGAACATTTTATAATAAAATATCAAATAAAATAACGGCAACCTAGGTGAAGGTAAATAACTATAAAATGAAATTACATACCCAGTATACGTATATTTATATGTGTGATTTTTTGCTGAATTGTTCAAAAAAAGTCTACTCGCATAATATATTATTGCTATATCTTTTGATATTAAATGACCACATGCTTGTATAAATTATCATTCGCATGATCCAATCCTACTTTCAAGCCATTTTGGATTCAAGTTGATATTTTGTTAACGAATAACAAACTTACAGACATACTCTGACTATTTCGTCATCTGATCAACTATAATGCACAGGTGTTATAATTTGAATACATATATGTGCATAACTGATGAAATTACAATTCACAATAACAGATTAATTTTTACCTCTTCAAATTTCGAATAAATTACCTATTTGACCTGGTTAATACCCATTTCTGAAAGAAATACACACAAAAACTTGCCCACATCATTATTTGCTATTATTATCATTAATTTAAAGCGACACAATGACACTTTTGTTTCAATAAAGCTTACATTTGGTGAAAGTTTAATATTGGAATCTCCAACCAAAGAACGTTTGGCTGGAAATGGCTTTTCCGATATTGCTTGCATATGAACCGACTGATTTAGATCAAAACTTACACAAAGACAATACAATATGTTTTTCTACAATTTTTATTCGATTAATGGAATATGGCTGACCAGAAGCCATTTCGTGAAAATCCTATTACTCTACGCTGAATCTCGCACACATCTGTATTCATCTTACTCAGTAACCGCACCAGTTCTACAGTCTAGTGATTTATAATTTCAAAACAATCATTTGTGTAATTTGTGATGTAATTATATATAACGGGCCATCCTCTCCGGACGTAATATTCGTTCCGACGCGCAGGTGGCCGTACTTTATGACCACATAATAATTGAATTGTCTACTAAAACAATCTAGCTAGTTGTTTTAAAATTCATCTATTCAATAACTTATGTGCGTTCCTTATGTAATAAATAATCGAGAAACAACATAGTACTTAGATAGCAGAGAACGACATGGCGAGTACTATGTATTTAAAGCAGGGTTTTTAAACTTTACTCGCAGGCCAAATCAGCATTGTGAATAACGCAAATGGCTGCCGCGATCTCGTTGAAATCACGAGACTTGAAGTTCAAGACACTGTGTACAAATAGTGCTCTGTCCCGTCAGTGCCTCATATGTCAACCACTGTTACCATGGTTACATAGATCAGAGGGTACGTTTAGTGGAAAGAATGGAACAATACTTGCAAAGTAAAAACAAGTCACGTGGCACTTTCACTCACTTTTATTTTCAGGGATGATGTAACTTGTTCTATTACTGAAATAACATTAATAGAAATATTAATTACCACGCATAATCAAGTGTACAAATCCCAAACGTTACAAAGTAGACCTGACAAGTAAGATCATCGCGAAGTTAGACGTGTCAAGCACCAGACATCGCACAGTAGACGCGTTACAAGAACTCGACACATCACCTAGACAGACATATCCCCTAGACAGAGATGTCACCTAGACACACATATCACCTAGGCAGACATATCACCCAGACAGACATAACACCTAGACAGACACCATCGCCTAGACAGACACATCACCCAGACAGACATATCACCTAGACAGGCATATCACCTAGACAGACATATCACCCAGACAGACATATCACCCAGACAGACACATCACCTAGATAGACATATCACCTAGACAGTCATATCACCTAGACAGACACATCACCCAGACAGACATATCACCTAGACAGGCACATCACCTAGACAGACATATCACTTAGACAGACATATCACCTAGACAGACACATCACCTAGACAGACATATCACCCCGACAGACACATCACCTAGACAGACATATCACCTAAACAGTGATATCACCTAGACAGACATATCACCCAGACAGCCATATAACCTAGACAGACATATAACCTAGACAGACATATCACCTAGACAAACATATCACCGAGACAGACATATCACCCAGACAGGCATATCACCTAGACAGACATATCACCTAGACAGTGATATCACCTAGACAGACATATCACCCAGACAGCCATATAACCTAGACAGACATATCACCTAGACAGTGATATCACCTAGACAGACATATCACCCAGACAGACATATCACCTAGACAGTGATATCACCTAGACAGACATATCACCTAGACAGACATATCACATAGACAGAAATATCACCTAGACAGACATATCACCTAGACAGACATATCACCTAGACAGACATATCACCCAGACAGCCATATCACCTAGACAGACATATCACCTAGACAGACATATCACCTAGACAGACATATCACCCAGACAGACATATCACCCAGACAGACACATCACCTAGATAGACATATCACCTAGACAGTCATATCACCTAGACAGACACATCACCCAGACAGACATATCACCTAGACAGACATATCACCTAGACAGACATATCACCTAGACATACACATCACCTAGACAGACATATCACCCCGACAGACACATCACCTAGACAGATATATCACCTAGACAGTGATATCACCTAGACAGACATATCACCCAGACAGCCATATAACCTAGACAGACATATCACCTAGACAGACATATCACCTAGACAGACATATCACCTAGACAAACATATCACCTAGACAGACATATCACCCAGACAGACATATCACCTAGACAGACATATCACCCAGACAGACATATCACCTAGACAGACATATCACCTAGACAGTGATATCACCTAGACAGACATATCACCCAGACAGCCATATAACCTAGACAGACATATCACCTAGACAGTGATATCACCTAGACAGACATATCACCCAGACAGACATATCACCTAGACAGTGATATCACCTAGACAGTGATATCACCTAGACAGACATATCACCCAGACAGCCATATAACGTAGACAGACATATCACCTAGACAGTGATATCACCTAGACAGACATATCACCCAGACAGACATATCACCTAGACAGTGATATCACCTAGACAGTGATATCACCTAGACAGACATATCACCCAGCCATATAACCTAGACAGACATATCACCTAGACAGACATATCACCTAGACAAACATATCACCTAGACAGACATATCATCCAGACAGACATATCACCTAGACAGACATATCACCTAGACAGTGATATCACCTAGACAGACATATCACCCAGACAGCCATATCACCTAGACAGACATATCACCCAGACAGACATATCACCTAGACAGACATATCACCTAGACAGTGATATCACCTAGACAAACATATAATCTAGACAGACATATCACCCAGACAGACACATAACCTAGACAGACATATCACCTAGACAGTGATATCACCTAGACAGACATATCACCCAGACAGACATATCACCCAGACAGTGATGTCACCTAGACAGACATATCACCTAGACAGACATATCACCTAGACAGAAATATCACCTAGACAGACATATCACCTAGACAGACATATCACCTAGACAGACATATCACCTAGACAGACATATCACCTAGACAGACATATAACCTAGACAGACATATCACCTAGACAGACATATCACCCAGACAGACATATCACCCAGACAGTGATGTCACCTAGACAGACATATCACCTAGACAGACATATCACCTAGACAGACATATCACCTAGACAGACATATCACCTAGACAGAAATATCACCTAGACAGACATATGACCTAGACAGACATATCACCTAGACAGACATATCA